ATCACAACAGGCGTGGACAACAGGAAATCTAATAGCCCATCCATAAAAAGATACGAAAGTGAACTAAACAAAAACTAAATCAACTCTATACGTTCGATATAGGCACATTTAATTTTATAAAGATTCCAATTCAGAAATCCAATTTATTTCTAGCTAACATCATATAGAATATTTCAATCGTCTTGACTTATAATCCGAATTTCAGGATATATGCAATAAAGTGAGCATCTAATATTTAATAGTAATATACGATGACTATTAAATACGAACAAGAATGATGTTGTAGCATATAGTAAGAATGTGCTTTACACCATACAGTCAAGTATGAAGTCAAGTAAAGAGACATAAATATATACATATAATCGTAATACAGACTGGATAATGACCAACCTCGCAGTTACACTAAATTCTATCTTTCCACTACGTGAAGAGCCGCAAGTGGAGCAGAGGAATACGTCTTCGTTGCTCAGGTTGATACTCCGGCAGCGGTAGCATTGGTTCACATTGTTACGACAGACCAAACATGTACTTCCTTGAACACTGGCCGAAGCATGGCAACGGGGGCAGATACGCTTCTCGCCATGTCCAGTAGGATGAAATTCTGCATATTCAAAAATAAGCCTCGATGCCTGCACAGGAAGACCATCGCCATCAGCTACCCTCATCATGAGGCAGGTTGGCCCGCCAAAGTTTCCTCCTATTATCGCGGGTCCTTCCATACCTGACCCATTAGACTCGACAGGCAAGGCAGCAGAATTAGTTGAAGGGTCGAAGTTAGAGCCCGAAAAAGGGATCGCCGATGGCCATGAGTGTGCAGGAAGTGCACTCACACTACCCACGGGTACAGCATTGGTAGGCGATGCGAGACAGATACATACCATCGTCTGATCACGAGCCAGTCGCACCGTGACCAGTTTGTCCCAGAGCTCTGGCTCATGCAATAAGTGCGATGCCGACCGGCCGACGAGATCATTAGTATATACATTCAAAGTATGCACGAAACGAGGCCGCTTGGATGATGTGTTGAACTTAATTAAAATAGACGGAAAATTATCATTATCATTTAACGAAAAATAGAAAAACTATTGAATATATAGTAAAGGTATATGTGATCCCTCAGATTTATCATAAATAGATAATAATCAGGTTTAGAATTCCCTGTTTCGCATCCAAGGCTACCATCCTAAGGCTGTGGAACTTAAGAGAAGTAAATAACTATTCCATATCTAAAAAGATTCATAAATCCTAAGTCAATATTGGAGAAGCAAAAAGCAAGAAGATGCCTGAAAAAAAGTAAGGCCTTGCCTGCAAAGCACATGCGAAGTATCTAAGAGGAAAATGGTACATGAAGTAAAGTAAAAGCAAGCCATAAGTAAATCTACTTGCCCTTTATCGATAAACTTAAGCTTTCAAGTGCAGGATACACTGGCAATGAATTCAATTCCATCAATTATGTGTACTAGAAAGTGAAATTTCTTAGTATTTTTAGATAGAGTTGAGTATGAATGAATTCCGGATCGCAAATAGCGCGTGAATCGTTTGCAAATAATAACAGTGTGCAATGTATTGCCTGGTAGCGAGTAAATTAGCATTAAATGAGGGAGATGAAAATTAAGCCTCGGTACGAGGATTGTAGACGCTGTTAAAGGCTTTGCATGAACAGTGAATCAAACTAAATATCTTTCATTCTCCGCAACCAAATAGAAGGCAGTATTGAGCAACTAGAAGCTAATACTTAACTGACATAGAAGCAAATGAGTTGAGTTCTTAAGTCGCGAAAGTTAATAAGTGCCTATTTTGCAGACAAATACTAAAATTCAAAAAATTCTTATTCCTAAATATGTATTTATTTAGCAAGAGAAAGTTCTCAAAGCAAATGCGCATAATTGCTGCACTATAGTGTAGTCCATAATAAAAAAAAATAATAGGAAAAGTTAAAGGGTCCTAACTAAGGGAATATGAAATATTAATCTAGACTAAGGTTGTTGGGGCAACAATAGTAACTAAGCAAGTGGCGGACTATGGAGCAAAAAGTAATGACCTTGCAGGAATTTCAAAACGTTAATATAGCTGATTTATAACATACACCAAATTAGCCAAAAAAAGTATTTGCGTAAAAGGTTTCAATAAAAGTGGTCAATATAAAATAATCACCCAAGATAGATTAATAAAGGGGCGACAAAAGATGTAATTTTTTGTTTAGATTTGGTTGAATTATGAATTAATGAACTTCATTTATCCCCTATAACTCAAACGATAATGCCAATTTTTCTAACCCAACTCT